ATGTTGATGTAGAAGAGACATGAAGAAGAGGGACACATGTTGATGTAGAAGAGACTGAAGAAGAGGGGACACATGTTGATGTGAGAAGAGACGTGAAGAAGAGGGGACACATGTTGATGTAGAAGAGACATGAAGAAGAGGGGACACATGTTGATGTAGAAGAGACATGAAGAAGAGGGGACACATGTTGATGTAGAAGAGACATGAAGAAGAGGGGACACATGTTGATGTAGAAGAGACTGAAGAAGAGGGGACACATGTTGATGTAGAAGAGACATGAGAAGAGGGGACACATGTTGATGTAGAAGAGACATGAAGAAGAGGGACACATGTTGATGTAGAAGAGACATGAAGAAGAGGGGACACATGTTGATGTAGAAGAGACATGAGAAGAGGGGACACATGTTGATGTAGAAGAGACGAAGAAGAGGGGACACATGTTGATGTAGAAGAGACGTGAAGAAGAGGGGCACATGTTGATGTAGAAGAGACATGAAGAAGAGGGGACACATGTTTGATGTAAAGAGACATGAAGAAGAGGGGACACATGTTGATGTAGAAGAGACTGAAGAAGAGGGGACACATGTTGATGTAGAAGAGACATGAAGAAGAGGGGACACATGTTGATGTAGAAGAGACGTGAAGAAGAGGGGACACATGTTGATGTAGAAGAGACGTGAAGAAGAGGGGACACATGTTGATGTAGAAGAGACATGAAGAAGGGGACACATGTTGATGTAAAGAGACATGAAGAAGAGGGACACATGTTGATGTAGAAGAGACATGAAGAAGAGGGGACACATGTTGATGTAGAAGAGACATGAGGAAGAGGGGACACATGTTGATGTAGAAGAGACATGGAGAAGAGGGACACATGTTGATGTAGAAGAGACATGAAGAAGAGGGACACATGTTGATGTAGAAGAGACTGAAGAAGAGGGGACACATGTTGATGTAGAAGAGACATGAAGAAGAGGGGACACATGTTGATGTAGAAGAGACATGAGAAGAGGGGACACATGTTGATGTAGAGACATGAGAGAGGGGACACATGTTGATGTAGAGAGACATGAAGAAGAGGGGACACATGTTGATGAAGAAGAGACCGAAGAAGAGGGGACACATGTTGATGTAGAAGAGACATGAAGAGAGGGGACACATGTTGATGTAGAAGAGACATGAAGAAGAGGGGACACATGTTGATGTAGAAGAGACATGAAAGAGGGGACACATGTTGATGTAGAAGAGACATGAAGAAGAGGGGACACATGTTGATGTAGAAAGACATGAAGAAGAGGGACACATGTTGATGTAGAAGAGACATGAGAAGAGGGGACACATGTTGATGTAGAAGAGACATGAAGAAGAGGGGACACATGTTGATGTAGAAGAGACATGAAGAGAGGGACACATGTTGATGAGAAGAGACATGAAGAAGAGGGACACATGTTGATGTAGAAGAGACATGAAGAAGAGGGGACACATGTTGATGTAGAAGAGACATGAAGAAGAGGGGACACATGTTGATGTAAGAAGACATGAAGAAGAGGGACACATGTTGATGTAGAAGAGACATGAAGAAGAGGGACACATGTTGATGTAGAAGAGACATGAAGAAGAGGGGACATGTTGATGTAAGAAGAGACATGAAGAAAGGGGACACATGTTGATGTAGAAGAGACATGAAGAAGAGGGGACACATGTTGATGAAGGAGAGACATGAAGAAGAGGGGACACATGTTGAGAGAAGAGACATGAAGAAGAGGGGACACATGTTGATGAAGAAGAGACATGAAGAAGAGGGGACACATGGATGTAGAAGAGACATGAAGAAGAGGGACACATGTTGATGTAGAAGAGACGTGAAGAAGTGGATCTTGCATAATAGGTGAGCTTTAAAGTGTCTTAGCACCACAGTATAATTATCTAGTTTCAACGTTCCCCTCCATAAACCTTTAAAATAGTATCCTGTGGAATCTCACTAATATGCACGACAACTCGTTACTAGTATTATGTTGAAACAAAGATTTGTCGGCGCAGTCTCTTACCTCCAAGATGTAGTTCCAGCCCTTCTCGTTGAAAACATCATCCTGGAAGTGTTCTCTGTAAACCTCCTTCGCCTCCTGGATCTTCTCTGGGGTCACGACCTTTCCTGGAGAGGAGGAGGGGCAAAGAGAGAGAGAGAGAGAGAGGAGGTTCAGAAAGCGATAGAGTCAAGGGACTGGAACGCTACCGTCCTCTGTAGTAATTCAATTAGAGCTGAAAATGCCTCTTTATTCAAACACACAAATGTACCTCCTTTCAAGTTTTTAGACCATGGAAACGGTTGCACACAACAAACCAAAACAGAGACAATATAAACAAAGCTTGATATTGTTGTATTAAAGGCAAACAGCTAGCATGGCTCTGTTCAAAGCTAATAATAATAATAATGTCTCTTCTGTTGTGTCTTAAATCATTAAGTTGTATTTTGTTGGACGAACGTACTTATTGTTAGTCGCTTTGGATAAAAGCGTCAGCTAAATGCAATGTAATGTAATGTGATGTGATACAGGGGGATGTCTGCAGGACTCATGCCTTTTGTTGGTTGCCTGGCAACATCAAAGATAAAATGAGAGAGTGAATAAAAACCTTAAAAAAAGAAAAGATGGTTTTCCCTTAAAGTAAAACATCTCTTAATGACGTTTCTTTAAAATCTTATGGTAAACGGGTTCCTTTTTCCTACTTTTACGTTTCCTCCTGCACCTTCACTAAAGTACAGTGAGAGAAGATTACAATGCACTCCATGTTTCAGTCACGATGCACCCTTTTGGGTCCATAAGCAGGAGGATCGGGGGATCTAACGGCCGTGCTCCTCATTGAGCTGTGAGGGACGCCGTGTGCAGACAGCTGGTGTTTCTGCCTCGTACGGTGGAGAGCAGCTGTGCTTTTGTCTCCCTCTGTTCTGCCTGTCTCTCCGTCTCCCCCGCACCTCTGCTACCGCACCGTGAAATCCTCTTAAGAGACAGGAGGGGGGGGAGATGCATGCCTTCTTTCTTTTGACTCCTTCTCCTGCTCTCTCTCTCATGGCCCTCGGGATGACGCCGACAAACATCCACCTTTAAAACTAGTTAATTGAAGCGATGCATTATACTCGCTTATCGCTTCCTTCTTACCTGCTGGCTCTGTGCTGCTAATCATCCTGAAGCACCTTGTTGTAAACAGGAGTGTCTCTCGCAGGCCACAATAGAAAGGCACCGGCCATGTTGGAAATGTCCTCAAGCAATGCACTGAATCTAGAGCGGTTCTGCAGATGACCTTCACCTACTTGTGACCTTGTCCTGGAAAAAAGGCTCCCACGGAGACAAATAGCGCATCATAAAAGGCCTGGACAACAGCAGGACAGAGTGCTCCCGTAGTTGACTTGTTTAGTTGACTGGAAGCACCATTTCTATTAGCACAACAACATGAAGAATTCATTTAAAAGCTGCCAAAGTCATTTCAACCTGGCTTCAGCGGCTGTTGCTCAAGGGGTAACTAAGTATGCAGCGTGTGGTGATGTCTGCAAACAGAGGGTGAGCAGCTCGATCTGACAAACATGTGAAACTACATCACAAAACAGGCGGAAGTTTTAGAGGCATCATTTCATTGTAAATCGAGACTGACCTTTCAGGTATTTGTTGAGGATGTACTGTAGGCCGTAGAACACGGTTTTGTCATATTTGACTTTTCTGCTTTTGGTGGGATCGGTCCTCCGCTCACGGCACTCGAAGTAGGAGTACACTTTACTCGTGTTGGGGGGGTACTGTTTGTAATGCGTGACCTGCAGAGACAAAGAAAACATAAAGGGGATTAGACCGATTATTTTTAGCAGTTTATTGCAGATCTATCCACCTTGAGACCCGTTATCGTTTGCGGGGTCCGTTTCCGCGGTTCCGTTACGGCCTCGTGTTCTACGCGAGAGAAAAGTAGCGGATACAACCCGTTTCGTTCTCGTGTAAGCACCGCCTAAAGCTGCTAGATATCATGGAGTAGTATGAAATGCAAATATAAGTCTTTATCACATATGTTGTCGGACGCCGAGGCAGTTTTGGGCTGCATACGCAACAACGAAAGTTATTTTCAAAGACTTCGAATTCAGTTCAATTACAACAGACGGAGCTATTCACGGTCACAACTCAAGGATGCTGGAGCAAAGACGTTTTTGTTTATTTTATCAGTGATTAGAGCTCTAGTTCAACAAAACACCCATCATTCAATATATTGTGTTAAGTCAAATAAGATCTTTTCCCTTACCACAATCAGTGGTGTGTGTTTCTAGTGATCTGCTTATCGACTGTCAACTGACAGACAAAAGAAAGTGTGTAAGACATGCCCAGGCTTGTTCCTCACCCGATGAGGGGAAGTGTACCACACAGAGAGCAGAAGACAGTCAGCTGGAGCTATCTGGTCGAGAATTCAATCCAAAATGAACCCAGGGATTTCCACTGAGAACACCGGGGCATCTCACGGTCAACTTCCAGAAGAAGGTCCACAGATTGATGGGAACGGCTACAGATAATTGACTTGTTTTGTAATGGGATCTTCAGACTCTTTCAATAGTTTACCTGCAATAGATTTAGAATCAGAGACGGCAAGGGCTCAATCTGTGATAAGCTGCATTCAGTGGACATTAAACGTACATCTTACAGTCGCATCTAGGGAATTATACTTCATAGAAATGATAAAGGAGGACATAAAAGATCAAACAAGGGTTAACATAAGTCATGGGTTGCTAAATACTTGATTTATGTCGCAAGCACAGGAAAAGTATAGATCACAATCTAGAAAAGTAGGCATTCGAGGATCAAAATAGTTATTTCCTAGTTTGAATGAAATGTCAATGAACTACTCAGTTTCTTTGACCCTGTCTCTGTCCGTTCGTGGACTCAAATAGAGTCGAGTGTCACACAACATGACACTGCGCCTGACCACGTGTGTGTACGCATTCCCTGGCCGACATGCCCACGGAGATACACAAACACACACAATATGTAACCATGTCTAATTTGCAAGCTGCACTATCCAGACCTCTTCATGCATTATCTTATAATCACCATTTTCTGATCTTCTTCAATAAATCTCTGTGTGATTCAAAATCAACTCGGTCTCACTTTCCTTCTCATTATGCAACATTATAGCATCAAAAAATGGGAAATTATGTAATAAGAAGGAAGGTGAAACGTAGTTGATATTAAATCACACTGTCTTGGTCATAGGGTTTTATTGAAGCTGCACAAATTCATACTCAATGTTTTAGGTGTGACTTTACTTGTGTGTTTTCTTAAAGGAGTCGTTTGTGCTGACAAATCCAGAGACTCTACAGTTTCCCGAAGCTCATTGGCGCGTGTTTTGGTTTTCTGCCAGATAACTTCCTGGTTTTGGCTCATTTAGAGTTCACATACAGTCAGTGAAAAATGCTCTGATATGCTAGTCTTTAACTAGCCTCCAAATACATCTTGAGGTTTCGGTGATTCCCAGAAATCTGCAACAGTAACTCTAGTGTTAAAAAAATGATTAAGATTGCCAGTTACATTTTGAGGATTCGATACTTAAACTATATTAAACTCCATGTCTTTGGGGTTTGGACTAAAGCAAGACCTTTGAAGACGTAGTTTGGGTTGCGATTGTCATTTCCAGGTTTTTTATGGACAACTTGAATGGATGGAAATAATCATTATACAACTTGAACTCGCCTAGAGAGAAGTTGACTCAGATTAACGTTAAGTGTCACCTCTTTATCTTCTGACTAAGTTTACCATCCGCCTCCTTACACTGCACTATTAAACTCTGATGGTGGTGAAGCAATTAAGAATAACATCATATAGAAAGTCTTCAAAAAATGCTTATTATTCTTCTGTTGCCCTTTGAGGATTGAATGCAGTGTCTTGGACAGGAGATCGAATTGGAAGCCATTGAAAAGGGGAATGTTTGGACACCTAATCTGGCGGCAGATCGGATGTCTCTCTGCAAACATCTGAAGCATGCAGCGGCTGGCCTAATGCTCAATGAGAGTATCCTATTAGCTAAATGTCACAGGATAAAGCCTCACTGTAGCCACTGTGGAAATGTTTCCCCCACAAATCCCAGACCTCTACCTACTCACTCGCTCACTGTACTTCTCTAGATCTAAGCTTCAGAAAAATGTCCTGTTGCATAAATGTGGTCATATGCCGACAAACTAGTGTTGTGGTACTCTAAGAATGTGCACGACCAATGATATCTCTGTACATCTGAGAGACCCTTAACACCAACAATACACTTGGTCACGGCTTTGTTAAATAAGACAAAAGGCGAGTTTGGCTTTGGGGCTGAGCTTCTCAAAACAGACAAAACTTAAAGGCACCCAGGTGCAGCTTGTTTTCATGTCATGTGAACAGAGTGTATGCGTCTTATTGGTCAATTAAATGATACCGCTTCTATAGTTACAAAGGTTATTGCACAGTCATGCACACACAACATATTCATGCCACTCACAATGGCACAGTCGAAGCACACATGGCTTGGCTCCAAATCAAAAAAACGTTTTATTTGTACTTCTAGTATAATACAGCAGCTGTATTTACAAAGTATGTGCTGTTGTATGCAACCGCAACCACACTACTTCATTCTTGGTCCTTGAACTTTTGCTTATATGTCTGCTAAGCAAAGGATCGTTGGTCAGAAGAGACGAAAAAGCATAATGGCTTTCATTTTGCAAAATGCGACTGCACGCTGTAGGGACGGATATCCGGGTATTTTTGAGCATAATGCATTTGTTGTGCTTTGGAACAAACAAATGACTTTTCCGGCATACTGATATTTGTATCTCAAGATTACATTTGGATTCTTGTGGTCCCTTTTTTTCATTCAAAACTATTCCTAATCAAGTACATAGGAGAGCTCATTTCAATATCTTCTCTAACTTATGTTGTGCTGCTAAATGACGGCAGAGTTAATTATATAAAGGTTATGGAGTTTTTATATTTGATAGGTTATTATTTTCAGCACCCGTTGACAAAAGGTCACATTTTTCGTGCACAAATAAACACGTTTTACTATTATTTCTCTAGTTCATCAATTGGAGAATTTGGTATATCAAGGTTATACAAAATACAATGTTGCACACTACATAAATGTAGGTTTAAGCTAGCTGCCTTTTAATTTAACTTCCTAATATATAGGCTCAGGTTTTCAACACATCTGATCCTACTTTACTGAGAGGTCCAGCTTTTTGTTTACCACTGTGTTTGTGTTTAAAGAGTCGCTCCAGCCTCGTACGACAACACAGGTTTGCCTCGCCTGATACCTAACATGACATTTGATCAATCCTTAGTCTTTTCCCCATTGAGCTGATATTTGCTGCTCCTCTTGAGCCTTTAATTATCTTGACATTTTTCAGCAATGCTCTGCTTTAGATTGGACACACACCTGGTAGCTTTCAAGAGCAAATGCTTCTGTTTGCCACTGAGTCTCATAAAAAAGCATTTTGGCACTTTGAAAGTCTTTAATATATCTTTCTCTATTCCTTTTTAATAGACTTCCCAAAGTCTACAAAAAGGGGATATGATACCTTTGATAAATCATGGTTCTCAAATTGCTTTTTGTAGATAAAAATGTCCTTATCACAATGACATGACATTGTTTTTATGATAGAGATATGCTATATCCGAAACGTTGTAAAAAATTAAACCAAAACATTTCACTCCCGAGAAATAAAAACCGAAAGCGAACATATATCTTGGAAATGGATTCCAGGAGACAAATATACATTAAAAAATATAATTACCATACTATTTGGCTTACACTCAAAGGAATTTCCTTTATGAATATAAGTACTACATCCCTTAAAAACGATGTCTTTACTGTGTAAGGAGACTATTTTTTTTCTTAGCGTTGGTAGCTCCATTACATGATAAAGCACCTGTTTTACATATTGATTCATATACCTGATATGAAAAGACCTCACAAAATCTCACACACTCACAGCATGGCTGGCTGAGAATCAAAAAAAGAGTATAAATAGACACTGGTTCAAAACATATCACCCTGTTAAGAGATGTGTTATATAAATAAAGCACTACCTGGTGCCAGCTCTGACTTTCAATGCAATAATGTGATGGCCTAGACAAGTAATAGTACAGTTTAGTTCTTATAATATATCTTATTAATCATTTTTGAGGTACTTTCCAATAAGTAGGATGATGCCTAATAGTCCAACCTCAGTTCCCAGTCATTTTCTCTAGAGCTTCAGCTTTTTTTGAGAAAGTACATAATCACACCTTTTCTTGTAATGTAGTTAAATCAGACTCCATTTACGCAGTTATGAGTATCAACCTCAGTTTTAAGCTTCCCATTTTCCATTTAAACTCAACCCTCTGTTTGTCCTGACTCCCTTCCTGTCATTTCTGCCCTTCTGTCCCATCATCACACCACTGACCGGTCATGACTGTGCAGAACATGGAGACCGGCCTGGAAACCACTTGCTACGTGAGATAAAACACTCCGAGAAGTGCATTTATTCTCGGGATACATGTTGCGTTTGCAGCCAGGCTCTTTAACATTACTCATTGTTTCATTCGCCATCAAATCCTGAGGCAGTCGACTATTACAAATCGTTGTTATGGGACCAAACGTACCAATTCTACGCATGACTTTGGATCCAGATAACCTAGAGGTGCACACAGAGAAATGACTCATTTTAACTTTCGGTTTTGATTTCCCGTAAGCGAGGCATTGGTAGCTTCATGCCGGCTAACATGACGCCTGGCTGGGCTTTTGAATAAGACTGAATGACTTTGTCCATGTGTAGATCAGATCGCCGGGCTATCAATACAGCAGTAGCTAGCTTGTGGCTAATATTAGCTCTTTTTTATATCAATCTCCATTGCCTCCTTTCTGCGCTTCCCATGAGCTAGCTAGCTAACACCGCTAGCTTCATGTCACTGTGACTAGCAACGCCGGCTACGTAACAACCAGCAGCTTTAGATATACGTTATATATGTTAGGAGGCTTAAAGATGGATGCTCTCTTCCTGAATTGTGGTACTCCATCTTCCTGTCCTTATCGTGCCAATTCGGCCTTCTGTGAACCGAGAGAGACCGGCCACAGTGAAGATGGCCTTGGGACCGGTGATGCAACCACCTTGACTTTATGCTGTATTTTCCTCCATCAGAAATGAGTACTGTACCTTGTATGAGTCGGTGGCTAACAGTATGCTGAAGTCGCTGTCTCTGTGCTCCATCTTTCCCTCCTTGTGGGTCAGCTGTCAGTAGGTTCAGTGCTGTGGTTCGGGGACTCTCCAGCTCCAGTAGTGTAGCTGAGTTTGGGGGGGAAGGACCAGGGGAAGGACGAACTGAGAGAGCCGGGCGGGGGAAGGGGCGTGCGGACCGGCGTCACAGAAACTCCGGCATCACTCGGGGAGGTTCGGTTCTACTCGGTCAGCTATCCCGGTTTCTGAATCAGAATCATTACATCATTACTTGTTATACGCTTTTATCTAAAGCGACTTAGTCAATACACCACCACAGGAGCAATTTGGGGTGAAGTGTCTTGCCCAGGGACACAACGACATGCTGATTGCAGTGGGGTTTGAACCTGTGACCCACTGATCCGAACATCAACGCACTAGTCCACTGCGCCACACGCCTCCCTTCTGAATCAGAAACGGGTTTACTACGAGATAGGTTTACACCACCTACTAGTAATTTGACTTGGTGTCGTGACTCGTGGTGCATAAAAGTAAAACAAGAATCAAAAACGCAGGTAGAGAACTAGAAAAATATGTTTTGCATCCCCCTGTTATTTCAGCCAAGATGAGTGTTTCATGTATGAAACTCACCCTGTCCACTCAGAACAGTACACCATATCAGCTGGTAGAATAGTTTAATCCTATTTAAGGAACGTAATAGGTGGATGCACTATTTGTAGAAAAGTGACTTTGTACCACTCACTCTAATTGGGTCAGATTTGTTTCTGCAGAAATATAAATCTGCAAAAATAAAATAAATGAAGATGTATAGTCAACAATAGGTTTATATGGCCTACCAGTCAAAAGTTTGGACACACCTTCTCATTCAATGGTTTTTGTTTATTTAAAATGTGTTCTACTTTGTAGATTAATAATGAAGACATCAAAAACTATGAAAGACCACATATGGAGACAATTCACTCGCATCGAGCTCCACCCCCCCATATTTGTGTCCTATGTCATTATGGTCATGCTAATAAAGTTATTATTTAATTGAAAGCAATACACTCAAGGGTATGCCCCTATAGAAAAAGCACTCAATTATTTAGTGGGAATGCTGTTAACAGTGTTAACAGCATTCCAACTATCTGTTATTCTACGCACGAAAAGTTTATTATTATTATTCCGCCGGTATTTTGGCCCTCTTCTCCTCCCGCATTGAACATCGCAGAAACTCAATTCATCACATTTTTAACATTGAAGTCAATGGAGGAAATCTTCAGACTTCAACAAATCTTCATGCAACTTCAACTGCTAACTGTTCATTCATACTTTCACTCAGAAACCTCATTCCAACTTTAAAATGTTACACATCTTTCTGGGATTATTCGTGTAAACGACTTTTAAATCTGATTCTTACTTTTAGAGATATTAAACATTGTTCAGACCTTGTTAAAGAGGCTTTCTTCACTAGAGTGCGTGATGTCACAGCTAAGGGTAGAACATCTTGAAATTTGCCTTCATATATTTTTTTAAAACTGCCATAATTCCCAAACCCTACATTCCTGAGACATGTATCATGACAAACGTAGGACAACATCTCGCTTGAAAAATGACAAATAATTAAGCAAAAATAATTAAACAAAATGCCTCTTGAGGGCATGAAGTGACAAAAACGTTCAACATGCCTCCATTAAAGCCCATTGTAATTTCAGGCAGATATTTCCTCACGGCAGCACACCTTTAGTTAAACTGCCAAAAAGGCCACATTATTAACCCGAAAGTACACAAAAATTACACTTCAGATACTCAACTTCCTTGACATGCTTCACGTTTTGAAATTTCACAGATATCTGTTACAGTTCTTCCACAAAACGTTCACATGTAAGAGGTTTATCTCTCATTCAGAGCAATGGAAACCTATGACCTCTGCACACCTCGTTAGCTCAACTATAAACACCTGTGTAATGGAACACGATGGTGTCATCACTCCAACTGACATGCTCAGAGCAATAGACTTCAGATAGCAGTGTGCCAACAGTCCAGCCGTGAAGACATCTACCGGACAGTTTTGAGATTTCTTCAAAAGCCGTTGCCATGGCAACACATTGCTCGCCTTGAAACACGGTTTTCTCATAACTTCAGTGAAAATACTCCAAACAGCCCAGAACTTCGCAGGTGTGGTAACGATGCAGCCATCAATGCATCTAAGCGTATTATGGGGTGTCATCAAATGCCGTTGCCATGGCGACAGACTACTTGCCATGAAACAGGATGTCGCTGTAAGTCCAATCGACACGGTCCAATCGTCCCCCAATCTTCACTTGTATATCACCGGTCCATGCCTCAACAGCTCTACGCCAAATCTGAGATCTCACCATATGCCGTTTCCATGGAAACGCATCCACCATTATGTTATATATTTGTATACATATTTAGAAGAACTATGTGATTGGGAAATTATTTAAATTGGCAACTAAGCAACTGTAACTAGCAATGACACATACAATACAAATATTATAGCAGTAAGTACAAGATATAAAATTATTACTTTACAAAATAATCTTGACATTTATTTTGAGGCATTATTTATTATGACAACTGTCAAATTGTGTGCCGCCAGATTTGGTGGAGAAACTGAGAAACTGATCATATACAGTATGACAAGAAATAAATGTAAATAAGTTATGGCATTAAATGTGACATATTTCCATAATGACATTATTATTTTTATAGAACAATAAGAATTAAAGTAGTGATTTTCCATCAGAAGTGCTCAGACATGGGCTCTTATATGCAGTTTTAAAACTCATCAGAAGGGAGCAGTGTTGGTCATCAACATTTGTTAAAATATCAGAAATTACATGAGGGTTCATTTGAATGTACTTTGGCAAGATACATAAAGTAAAATAAATTGCATTTCTAATAAATTCATGCCATACCTTTAAAAAATGTTTCACAGCAACACTGATGCCTTGGTACCTAGGATTCCTTATTGTATTTTTGTTTGTTTTTAACTCGGCTATATTGTAAATGAGTTCTCCACCTTAATGTATTTTGATCATTACTGCAATAAAACTGTTGCTAGAGGAAGCCACCCTTATTACCATTTGTTCTTTGGAGAGCATAGTCTTAATGAGCTGTCTGGAAGGAAACTAATGCAGCTATAAAATTCAACAGCATACAATTTAATAACTATAAATACATTTTATAGTTTAAATGTACATCTGAGTTAGTTAGCCGACAAGCAGATGTTATTTTAGACTTCAAACAATTCAAGAATTAACTTATGATTACTCTGTATTATTCATTTCTCTGCAGGAGAGTGTGTTTTATAGCATATATAAAAAGCTTAATACACATGGGAAAAGAAGCTTGATACATGAATGTTGCATCAAAATAAAAAACATTAAAAAATAAAAAATGGCTTGGAAGGAAGACAGCCAAGACAAGTGTCATCTGATCTGGTTGGCCTCAAATATCTTACGATGTTTGAGTTCAATTTGTCTGCATATTGAACCCGATTTCTGGGATTTATTTAGCGTTTGGCTGTGTTTTTGCAAGTTTAACAACAGTTACTGTGTGCACTAACTACACAGGACCCCAAATAAAGTCATAAAGAATAATTTCATTGACAAAAACGTGTTTTCCCATTAAATTGCCTCAAATGTGCTCATCATTAATCCTATCATACAAAGAGTAGAGGAAACTTTAAATAAAAACACAAGAGTATTACTGTCAAGCTGATTTTGTAATATATGGCTTACTCCTAAAGGGATTGAGTTGTTTACATATTCAATCAAATGTTTTTTTTTACAATCATTTTGTTAGAAATAAAACTTTAGTTTGTCCTTAAAGTATATTTTGATGCTGATATTGTTGTAATTCTCTTTAAATGCATGACTTTTAAGGCCAACTCAGTGGACATTTTTAAACGACAACCCCCCACTTTAAATGTTCTTTTAGTCTTTATTATTGACCTACCTTTATATTGTTTTATTTATTTTATAGGTCTTTTTATTTGTATTTTTGTTGTACCTATATGTTCACTTTGTTTTATGGGGTTTTATATTTTATATTGTTGCATCGACTCAGTTGTCTTGTGTCTTATCTGTCAGAGAGAAATCATTATTTATTTTTATTTTCATTATCATACATTTTACCTCCTTGTGTCTATTAACCTGATACAATTTTATATTTTGCTGCATGTACCTTTTAAAGTTCTTAACAAATAATCCGAGGGGAATTTCTTGTTGTTTATTTTTAACTTGTGATGTGTCGCCATTTTGTAAAGCACTTTGAGCTGCATGTGTTGTATGAAAAGTGCTATTTTAATAAACGCTTTATTAGTATTATAATAATTTTTGCTTGTAATTGAGTATTTGAACATTGTAGAAGTTCTTATTTGACTTAAGTACAACATCTAAGTACTGTTTCTACCACTGATCATATGTGTCACCTGCCTGTGACTCCATACTGAGGCTGGATGGTGCTCTCATTCAGCGGGACGGTGAGAGATTCCAACCCGCTTGACGGATGATTTCCTCGGTTTATGGCAGCGACTCTGCTCATGGGAAGGGAGGAGCTTATTACTGGATAAAGTGCCATTTCCGCATGTCAATACATTTCTAAAGACAAGAGGAAGCTGTATGTGAACTACTCATGGACACTACTGCTTTCAGTTTCAGCAACAACTAGCCAAAATTAGCATGTAGTTAAATGGTCACATGATGCAGAGCCTGAACGCACACCGGCTGTCAGGTGCCAGGAGCCGCCTCTTCAGGAAACAAGCTTATTCCGGAGTGTTTTAAATAAAGTAGGGATTTTCAACTGAGGATTGGTGTAAACATGCTGAAGTTAAAGCAAAAGTTTGACCTGCACAGAGATGTTGTTTCTGACATTCTGAGGAAAGAAGCGTCGGTCTGCAGAGTGAAAGGTGAGGCGTTCAGGTGTCATCGGTACTCTTTAAAGTTTTGTAATAACTGAATAGCTTTGACTAATAGCTAGCGAACAGTGTCAGTTCAACCTGTCACTGTTATTAAAGAGCCTAGAGAGTATTTATCTACATGATTCATGTGTGTCATTGCTATGAAATTGCGTAATATCACATACAAAGTCAATTCATTTGAGCAAATGGAGCTTTTAGAAACAATTGAGTGGCTAAAAGTTTGTAGATATATTCCAGTAGATGGAGCCATTTACTCCTCAGACTTCCTCTGTAAATATCTTGTAAGGACACCAAAACAAAAGTTATTATTTCCTGTTAAACATCCTAACTATGGATACAAGTAGGAATTAAAAGATAAAAAATAT